AAAAAAAGGAGCATATATTTCCCTTTTCATCATTACCTTGGTGCAAGGCAGTAAAACTGGTCTCACTGGTTTGTAAGGGACACTCAGGAGGTCAGAACTGCAGAACTGTAAAATCCTGCTCAGCTCCCTGCATAACAGGGCAAGAGCCAAGCCAGCTTCCTTGCAGAGCTGTTTGGACAGATTTCTGCCCCAGGTAAGCCCAGAGCACCCTGGTCAGCAAGCTAAACCCTAAGCTAAGCTGCAGAGGGACAGTGGATTGAAATGCCCTAAGTGTGGTTACGGGATGGTACAGGATGCACCCTGCAGCAGGGGATCAGATTCAGGAGGCTCAGAGATTGTGTTGGGGTTGGAGACTTCCTGGAGAACCTCCCAGAGCTTTTTGCTCTGGACTGCAAGTTCCTTGGAGCTTAGAGAGCTGGGAAGAGCAAACCCACCTCCCCTCCCCGCCCCACAGGCAAAGCACCACGGCACCAGAGATGCTGCACAACGTTCCTTTATGAAAACACAGTGTCAGGTCAAGATGGTCCCTTCCTCAGTGGGGCTGGCAGCTCCTGCAGAGATCACAGACGGGTGCATCAGGGATGAGTCTGAGCCAGCCCCCCCTGGTCCATCCCAGCCCTCGGCACAGGGTGACTGGGACAGCCCCTGTACCAGCCAGACTCCAGGCACCCCCAGGCTTTGCCACTCTCCCCCAAAAAGAGGGCAAAGCTTTCCTCAGGAGTGGGCACCATGCCAGTGCTGGGCCTGGGGAGGAGTCTTCATATCAGGAGCGGGCGGCTCGGGGCACCCCAGGGTGGCAGAGGGTCCCTACCAGGGGCTGCTCACCTCTTTCCCATCATAAGCTTCATTCACAAAGGTGTCACTCTTGGGAGGAAGCTCTTCCTCCTCCTCATCTTCTTCCTCAGGGTCACTTTCACGGTGGTACAAGGTCAGCACTCGGGTGGAGGCAGTGCTTGAGGTTCTGCTTGAGGAAAAAATGTACGCTGAGGATGGCAAGGACAACTCCTAGAAATGGGGCAGATCCCAACGTCCTGCCACAACCCCTGGTGATAGCCTGTCAGGGGTGATCAAAGCTTCCCACGTAGCCCAGGAGTGCCCCAAGACACCACACTGTCCCTGGGCAGAGACTGTGTCCCTCTCCACCCCCAGAACTCACCTCCTGCGCCTATCCTGCCTCCGCATGTATGCCAGGGCTCCCACGGCAGCGGCGGTGAGCAGCAGGAGCACAGCTACACCCAGAGCGATGGGTCCGGCAAGGGGCTGCACCTCTGCCTCCTCGCAGTAGTCACCACGATAGCCCAGGGCACAGTGACACGTCACCTGCCCAGCCTCGATGGCACAGTCCCCACGCAGGTTACACGTCTCGCTGCTGCATGGCATGGCTCCCAGCACCTCCTCAGTACTGGGGGGTACCAGGAAGGGCTCTCCATGCTCCTGGGGGCCAGGGGCTGTGGGTGGGCTGGGGCCAGGCTGCTGAGGCTTGGATGCAGCTGTGGGTAAGGCTGGTTTCTCTTCTTCCACATGGGACATCTCTGATGGTGCCACCATGGGGACCTGTGTCCCTACCTCGACAGAGGGGCCTGGAGGGATGGATGCAGATCAGCAGAGACCCAGGTGAAACCCGCCCTTTCCAAACTGAGGGAGACTGGGCAGGCCCCTCCTGTGCCCTGCCAAGACCCCTGCACCCCCCGGCTGTGGGCAGGCACTCACAGCCAGACTCATCGGAGCTGTCGAGGCAGTCGGGGTGTCCATCACAGACCTGCTCTCTGGAGATGCAGCTCTGGAGATCAGGGCAGGGCTGTAGCGGGGCTGGGCAGGGTTTTGCCAGGGTGCATGCCACCCCCCGCACCAGCTGGTACCCTGGGGAGCAGCGGCACTGCCGCCCGGCAGGGTTGGGCAGGCAGAGCTGGGCACAGCCCCCATTGCTCTTGGCACAGCCGTTGGTGCCTGCCAAGACAGCATGGGTTAGCAGGGCCACCATGGGACATGGCTCCACCCTGCAGATGCCCCAGGCTGGGGCATCCCCAGACCCACCTTCCTGCAAGAACTGGCTGTAAATCCTCATTGCTCTCCATCAGGAACCACTTGCTCTCGGCCCGCTCCAGGCGGCTGTGCCAGATCTTGCTGGACCCTGGGGTCACATGGGGTCAGCACTGTCCCACATCCTCCCGCAAGGGTGCCCATGATCAGAGACTGGGGTGCCCCAGCATGTCCTTCACCCCAGGAAGGGTTAGCCTGCACCCCACAGGGGCTGAGAGACCCCTGTGTCCTGGTGCAGTAGGAGCTGGACAAAGCACAACAAACAGACTCACCGTTGGTTGAGGTCGTGCTCCAGAGCAGAAAACCTTCTCCGATGGTGAAGAGCGAGAGGCCGTGCAGCCCTTCCCGCACCACACGGAAGCGGGATCCGTCCAGCTCGACGCTGCTGATGGTGCCTCTCTCTGCAGGGCACGGATGGAGGGCTATCAGG